AAAAGGGGAATTCCATTGTTTTCTAGAATTGAGCGTGATTGAAATGAAAATGAGAATTTCACTGTTTTTCTGAAGTAGAGCATGCCTATTTGAAACTTATTGAACTGCCCTGATGATCTGAAAGTTATTTGTAAAGAATGATTTTCTGTTGACTTCTGCCTGTTTTGTCTCCGATGTGGTTATGTTATTACTGACCCTGCTAGTGGGGGTTAAACGCTAGCACATGTCGACATGTTATTGATAGGACCGGTTCGTTCGACTGATCCTGCTAGTGGGGGTTAAACACCAGCAAATACTGACCCTGCTAGTGGGGGTTATACACCAGCAAATACTGACCCTGCTAGTGGGGGTTAAACACCAGCAAATACTGTAGCCTGCCAGTGGGAGGTTTAAACACTGGCCATGACCTATTGAGGAGACGTCTATTTCGTGCCCGTACTGTTTCGGTTTTCATAATTACACTTGTTGGCATGCTATGAGTTTAAATAAACGGTTTGTCATTGAACGCTTGCTACTGAACTGAATTTGATTTTGCATTAACGGTTTATCATAGAATGTTTTGTTATGTTAAATTGTTTATCAAGCATGCTAAAATTTTACCCAAGGGCTATCCATCTTTACTTACTGAGTTTATTTCATAGTTTTTCCTTGTCCACCATTTCAGGAAGCGAAACCGAGGACGGGGAAACCACGGGAAGTGACGAGTTAGAAGGCTAGCCATTTCGAGATTGATATAATTTTAGAAATAAATCATGTTTTTGTAAGATAGATTTTACCTTGTGATTTTAAGTTTAAGTCATGTTGGACATAGAATTATTGAATTATCTGATTTAAGTTATTAAATTGTCAGATGTGAATTGGATAAGTTCCGAGCCTTGTGCATTTGTGGGATCTTCTCACAAGTGCACGGCGTCTATCGCGTCTCGAATTCGGGTTTTGGGGCGTGACAGAGAGCCTGGCAGATCTTCATGAAGAGTTCATCAGAGGAGGATGATAACAGAGGGAAAGCATGAATATCAGATTGATCAAGATCAGCTGCAAAGAAGGAGGCTAGGTGACTCATATGATTGGGGCTTGTATAAACAAGCAACGCCCTATTTTTTCACAAATTTCCCAGAAGAGTGGACACAAGAAGACATGTGGAGGACCTTTGTGAAGTTTGGGAGGGTCTTTGACAATTACAGCCCTCCTAGAAGAAGCAGAAACGGTAGTAGGTTTGGATTTGTAAGATTCTTGGGTGTGAAGGATAGAAAAGAGCTTGAAAGAAAGTTGGACAACATTTGGATTGGGGACCACAAATTATGGGTAAACTACCCAAGGTATAATGACACCCAGCAGAAGGGTAGGTAGATTAAAGCAAGTCACGTTGCGGAGCCACAAGTGCAAAACAAATCCTATGCAGAACTGGTGAAGGGACAGCAAACGAGTAGACATGGAAAAGGGGAAGGAGATAGGAGCAGGGAGGGTCATGCTATGGACCAAGAACAGGACAGAAAAAATACCAGATTGGAAGATCAGATAATGGACAAAAAGAAGGTATGGGTAGAGAAAGGAAGGATGGATACCTGGGCTGGTTTAGAGTACAATACCAACAAAGAAGAATCCTCATGGCTGGAGGGTTGTTATGTGGGAACGACTCACTCCGTAGAAATGGTTAGAAACTTGCAGGAAAAATTCTATATGGAAGGATATTTCAACTACAGAGTTCGCGCAATGGGAGGAAGATTGGTGCTGATGGATTGTGAAGATAGAGAAGAGTTGAAAGACTTGGTAGAATCGGCATCAGAATGGCTGGGACAATGGTTCGAAAAGGTGTGTCCCTGGTCTCCAGAGTTGATAGCGAAAGAAAGATTCGTATGGATTAGATGCCAAGGTGTGCCGCTAGATGTTTGGGGCCATGACTTTTTTGAATCCATGGGGAGGTCATGGGGCAAGTTCATTTGTTTGGATGATAGCACAAGCCAAAGAAGGAGGTTTGACATAGCTAGATTCCTAATTTCAACCCCGATCATGAATACCATCTCAGTGTTGAGAGAAATCAAAATCAAGGGGTCCCTGTATAAAATCAAGTTTTTGGAGGAGGAATTCACAAATAGTTTCTTCTCTTTAAAACAAGATTTTATTCCTCATTTTCAAAGCGAATCAGAGGAACATGAATCATGGTCATTGGAGAGCGAGACTGAGGATTATGTGTGGGAAAAAGCAGTAGAGCAAGAACAGGGGAGCGGCATACCGATGGAGCTCGAGCTTGAAGACGATGACGTGAAAGGTAGCAGAGGAGAGTTAGGTGGCATGTCTCAATCACACGTGCAGGATAAGGAAGAGGAGACAGTGGAGAAAGTTGCAGACAGCCTGGAGTGTGTTCAAATTTCAAACGGTAAAGTGGACAGAAAAGCAGAGGGGAGAGTAGCACAGGAGGCGAGGAGTGAGGAAAGGGTAGAGAGTTCAAAAGAAGGTAGAAAAATGAGGCCGGGCTTCAAAAAGAAAATAAATTTGGGCCGAAGAAGGCAGCCCACTTCATATGAGAGCAGCCCAAACCAGGCGAACTCATCAAGCATGAGGCCAGGTATATGCAGACCACATCAAGCCGAGGGAGCAAAGTCAACTTCTGTTAACAAATCAGGAAATTCAAGAAACAAGGGTTCTGCATCAACAGCCAGCAAAGAGGAAAAGGAAGATCTCGGTGGGCAGGACACAGTAAGCAAAGAGAACCAGATGAAGAGGACGAAGTGGTGCAAGGAAGGCTTCCCGCAGCAAAGGAAGAAGAAAATTTGCCTCTGTAGTTTGGTATACATCAAGGCCAGATCTGCAGAAGAAGGAAAGCAGAGGAGAAAAAACCGAGGGAGGCAAAATAAGAAATCAACGGAGGGGATGGCAGAGCCGAAGTTCATAGCAAGCCCAAATGGTGAAATTGCAGGAGATTCGGTTGGTGACAGTGGGATCCAGAACTGTAATCGAGCTTTGAGAAAGCAACTGCAAACCCAACTAGCGAAGGACATATGGGATCTAGCCAAAAGGATGGGCGCCACAGTGGAGAATGAAGAGATATTGAAAAAAATTAATGAAATGGAGGGTAGAGATAAACGAAGCAAAGAAGACTTAGAGAGGCGAGCGGTGGAAGATCCAAAGAAGGTAAGCAATTTCTGTGATGATACTGATGTCTTTTAATATCAGAGGGCTTGGAGGGTTGGGGAAAAAAAGAAAAATTAGAGAAGTGGTAAAAAAAGAGGGAGTAGAATTTTTAGCAATACAGGAGACGAAGATAGAGATAGTTAACAGAAGTGTATGTAGAAGAATATGGGGAACCGATGAGTTTGAATGGATTTTTAAACTGTCAGAGGGTATGTCTGGAGGCTTATTGTGTATATGGAGTCGGAATGTGCTAAAAATGACAGAGGTGATTGAAGGAAAAATTTCATAGGAGTTTTTGGGGAATGGGGGGGAGGACCAGGTGCCTGTCTATATTCTTAATATTTACTCTTCAGGTCATTTGGAAGGAAAAAGAGCATTATGGAAAGAGCTGTTGAATCTGATCAATAGTAGAAAGGGTAATTGGTGCTTGGGGGGGGGGGGACTTCAATGCAGCTAGAATAGTAGGGGACAGAGCAGGGTGTAGTGGAATGACCAGGGAAATGGTGAAGTTTGATAGTTTTATCCAGGATGCTGGGCTGGTAGATTTACCCTTGGTGGGCAGAAAGTACACTTGACACAGTGCTAATGGACAACATAGAAGCAGGATAGATAAGTTCTTACTTTCAAACGAATGGTTGAAGAGTTGGAGCGATTTAAAACAATGGGGTTTGGGAAGATCAGTATCTGACCATTGCCCATTGTTACTAAAGAATGAAAAGGTTGATTGGGGGCCAAAACCTTTTAAATTCTTTGATGCTTGGCTAGAATATCCTGATTGCAAACAGTTGATAAGTCAGGTGTGGAACTCAGATGTAGTGAGTGGATGGAGGGGATTTAGACTCAAAGAAAAGATGAAAAAAACCAAAAAAGCTCTGAAGGAATGGAGTGCAAATCACATGGCGGATATGGACAGAAGAATAAGTGAAGCTGAAAAGAACATAGCAGAACTGGATAGGAAAGAAGAAAACAGTCAACTCACAGCAGGGGACATTGAACTAAGGAGAAGTAGCTTCCTTGCCCTATGGAAGAATATGAGAATCAAAGAGAGCATGTTGCAACAGAAATCAAGAAAGATGTGGCTGAAAGAAGGAGACGCAAACACAAAATTTTTCCACAGAAGTGTGAAGGGCAGATGGAGAAGAAACGAAATTAATAGCATCCAAAGCAATGGGGAGCAATATAGAGGTGTGGCAGAAATCAGAGAGGGTGTGTTAAGGTATTTTAAGGGGCTGTTTACAGAAGAAAAGTAGCAAAGACCAAAGCTTGACAGAATAAATTTTAGACAACTAGCTGATAAGGATAATGATCTCCTTATGGCAAAATTCACTGAAGAAGATATTCAAAATGCAGTATGGGATTGTGACTCGACAAAGTCTCCGAGCCCGGATGGGTTCAACTTCAGGTTCATAAAGACTATGTGGGAGGAAATAAAGCAGGATGTCATAGGATTCGTGCAGGAATTTCATGAGCATGGCAAATTAGTGAGAGGCTCAAACTCCTCCTTCATTACTCTAATCCCAAAGGTCAAAAACCCCCAAAGAATCGAGGAGTACAGACCAATATCACTCATCGGAGCAATTTATAAGATTCTTGCAAAGCTGTTAGCAAATCGCCTCAGGAAAGTACTTGACAAGATCATAGGGGAGCAGCAGATGGTGTTCATAGAAGGCAGACAGCTGATGGATGGAGTGGTGATTGCAAACGAGGTAATAGACGAAGCGAAAACGAGGAGAATAAAGAGCTTTTTATTCAAAGTCGACTTTGAAAAAGCTTATGACAAGGTAAGCTGGGAGTTTGTTGATTATATGCTAATGAGGACAGGATTCACAATTAAGTGGAGAAAGTGGATAAGGGAATGCTTGCAATCGAGTATGATCTCGATCCTTGTGAATGGAAGCCCCACAAAGCAATTCTCGGTCAACAAAGGAATAAGACAAGGAGACCCACTTTCACCTTTTCTATTCTTACTAGTGGCAGAAGGTTTGAATGGGCTAATGCAATCTGTAGTGGAGAAAAACTTGTTCAAAGGGGTGAGGATCGGTAACGGGAACATAGCAGTATCTCATCTCCAGTTTGCTGATGATACATTATTCTTCGGGGAGGCTTCGGAAGAAAACATACAAGTAGTCAAATGCATTTTGAGGACTTTCGAACTTGCTTCGGGGTTGAAAATCAACTTTGGAAAAAGTCAGATAATGGAGATCGGAACCGAGGAGGGCTGGAAGGAGAGAATGGCTTGTAGACTGTGCTGCAAAGAAGGAGATCTACCTTTCAAGTATCTGGGAATACCAGTCGGAGGGAATCACAGAAAGTTAGCATTGTGGAAGCCACTGTTGGAGTCTTTTAAGAAGAAATTAGCTAGCTGGAAAGGCCAAAACTTATCCCTAGGAGGTCGGATCACGCTCTTAAACTCTGTTTTGTCCAGTTTACCTGTGTATCTGATGTCGGCCTACAAAATCCCCAAAGGTACTCTCTATTCCTTAGATAAAATACGTAGGAATTTTTTATGGGGAGGGTTGGGGGAGGAGAAAAAAATTAAATGGGTTAGCTGGGAGAGGGTGTGTAGGAAGAAGGAGTGTGGGGGCCTGGGAGTGAAGGACCTAAGAAAGTTTAATCTGGCGTTGATGGGAAAATGGTGGGGACGGCTAGCGAAAGGGGAAGAGGGTCTTTGGGGGAAAGTTATAAGGGGAAAATATGGAGATAACGGGGGTCAGTGGATGGACTGGGTAAGAGATGGAAGAAGAGTAGGATCACTTTGGTGGAGAGACCTACAAAGTCTCAATGTGGGGGAGGACGGGAATGAGGGATGGTTGACGGAGGGATTTAGAATGAAGATAGGTGAAGGGAAAGGAGTGAGTTTTTGGTGGGATGAATGGTGTGGTGAGAACTGCCTAGCGAACATATATCCTAGATTGTATGTCTTGTCAACAGGGAAGGAAAAAGATTGCCAGCAAATGGGAGAGGATCACAACGACACATGGAAGTGGAACATGACATGGAGAAGGGCCCTGTTTCAGTGGGAGGAGGAGGATGAAAAGAAACTGCAGAAGACAATTGAAAAAGTCAAAATCTTCCCAGGTTGTGCAGACAGATGGGAGTGGATCCACAACGCAGATGGACAATACTCAACGACAACAGCTTATGCAGTGCTAGCAAAACAAAGGAAGGAAGTTGATGAGGAGAAAATATTCAAGAGAGTATGGAATCCAACCATCCCAACAAAAGTAGCTGCATTCAACTGGAGGGTATTAATTGACAGAATCCCAACTAAGATTAATTTGTTTAAATGGGGAATCATAAAAGAATTGGAAGAAAGGAAATGCGCTTTGTGTATGGAAGAGGAGGAAGATTCAAGCCATTTGTTCTTGAACTGCAGTGTAGCTAAGTGGCTGTGGAAAGCTTGTACAAAGTGGTGGGGAGTCACAATAGTCTTACAAAAAGATTGCTGGCCAACATTTCAACACTTGGGTGCACGGACAAAAAAGCTATACAAAAACGAAGGCTGGGACTGTATATGGAATGCAATGTTATGGACTGTGTGGATGGCGTGCAACAAAAAGATTTTCGACAATGCAGAGGTAAACTTGATTTAGCTTTTTGAACTTATTCAATTAAGGTCTTTTGCTTGGATCAAAGCTAGGAAACCCAAGTGTTACTTCAATCTATCAGACTGGTTAATTAACCCTACTTCTTGCCTTGATAGAGCATAGTAGGATATGTCCGAAAGAGGGTAGTAACACTGAAGGGATTGTAAATTGTTCATGGAAATGGGTTCAAGTACCCCTTGTACTCAAGTTAACAATATAAATTCTTTGGCTGTTCAAAAAAAAGAGAGAGACAAGTAAAGATTGAAGAGGAAGGGGAAGGTTCGAGA